GTAAAATTAGCTGAATTAAATCTATGTGAACTGCAAAGTAACAATAGAATTTATTGTTTTTCTGTTACACAGTGAAAATAAATGGTTTCACAGTATCTAAATGTCGCCTTTGTTCACATTTTTTTGTAGCTCAGCGTAACCTCCAAACCTTGCAACTATTTACCCAAAGCATCTATTGAAAACAATTGGTGGTCAGTTGTCGACAGCAAACAGCATAGAAACTCTGACAGAAATATATCGACTTTGCCTACATTACGTACACACCTTTCTGAAATCTACATTTTAACATTTGTATTGTTACATAATTGTTGGAATAGTTAAAAATCGAGTCCCCATGTCCTTCCCCGTGCATTGCTCTAAAATGAAATGTAATTTTTATGTTAAATTTTAGTATCAGGATTTTGTCCATAACCCCAGACGAGGACAGTCCACTCTCACCCAAAAAAAAAAATATTGTAAAAAACTTTGAATGAGCTACACACCATTTTGGCAAATTTAACACAATTCATGTATTAACATAATCTTAATAAGTACCAACGATCTCATTATCAGAATATTATATATAGGAGCAGGCCGAAAAAATGATAACTAAATTTTTATTATTCTTTTTTCACATTAGGCATTATCTGAGATGGAAGTTTGCTGCCCCCAAGCCGGAGCATACATGTATTCACACTACCCTAATAGCAACTTGGTAAGTTTGCAAGCCTTGCACTGATGTAAATTTCACATGGTGGTTCATTGTTCCAAAGTAACTTTCACTCACACAAAACTGCAACATTCTAATTTGGATTCAGCCTAACCAAATGTACACACTGTAACGCAATGTTTCTTTTCCTAAAAGAATACTTGCACAATATATTTTCATATTTCTGACAAGCAGCAGAAAACAGTAAAACACAAACAATTAAAATGTGAGTTATTTAATGAAACAAAATTGGTAGTTTCACAATAATAAAATGATTTACACTTTAGTACTTTGCAACTGCTAATACTTGTACTTTTAACATGTCATTCGTGTAGTCGTCACAAAACATGTCATTCGTGTAGTCGTCACAAAACATGTCATTCGTGTAGTCGTCACAAAACATGTCATTCGTGTAGTCATCACAAAACAGAAAACCCATATAGTAAGTAACCCAGTAAGTTTATATCAAACATTTGATGAGAAATAATATATTAATGCCATCAAATTCTGGAGTCATATTTATCCCAAATATCATCTTTATAGTTATTTCACACCAATATTCTGTAACAATAATATTCAAATAAAAGTTTTTGTTACTCATTGATGAGTTTTGATAACACCAGACACTATATAACAATTTTTATTTGAAACAAAAACAAAAAAATGTTTGAAAGGCCATGATCATAATGTATTACATGAAATCTATATTTGTGTTTTAACAGCCAGATTTAGGAATAAAATAGGAATACCTTAAATAACTTAAATTTTCATTTTCACATATTTTTGGAAAGTCAATGTTTTTGTAAAAATCAAATGATCTGGTTAAAGGCCAAACCAATCATATTCCAAGAACTTAGACATCATATGGATATGGATGGTGAAAATATTCCCATAACATTTATGCCATATCATTGGTAGATAACATTTGGACTGACCAATTCTTGGGGTGGACATCTGGGCATTTACATTGCCTGGCAAACCATCACGGTGAGAAAAAAGGCTGAAAACTCAGAAAACTGTACTTCGGAATAGTTGTTGAGATTCCCCTGAACAGTGTAACAAGATTAGCTCTACATGTCCAACATATATAAATTTGATTGCTCTGGATTATTTCAAATTTGAGTTTGTGCTGTTACCACAGACTCTTCAACCGGCGTTCCACATCAGCTTACACAGAGGCCATTACTAGTAACCATGGTAGAACTTTCTGTGACGTAGTTCCAGCCAGAGAATAAGCAATAACCAGAGTTTGTGAATATGCTAATTCTGAGTGTATTTTATAGTCCTGGGTCAGAAGATAAATAACAATTGTCACTAATATGTAGACAAGATATGCTGATACATTCCATTAAGTAAGTGATATCTAGTATAAATATCAGTAATGCTTCAAAAAAGCAAATAACCTTTCTAATTGTTTTCAGATAATATTTGATTATTATAATCACATCTTCATTGCTATACAAATGTAAGTAAAAACATCACATTATTTAATAACAACTTTGACAGACGATACTTCTTATGTATTTTTAATAACTTGAATGTCTTTGATAATGACAGTAACAAACTTGCCAAAGCTAATGATAGAACCAGTTAGGGGAAAAAAACAATATGCACAGTATCAAAAGTACATAATGATACACATACATAAGAAAACACTTTACATTATGCACCTAATATAAACAAAGGGTAGTAATAGCGATCCCAGGGGTGAACCACATGGCCTTTAGTAACTGCAGCTCTAAATAATGCTCAAATAAAAATAATGTTTCTTTACAAAATGATCATCCACTTCAATATTCATGTACATGAAAATATTTTTGATATAATTTGTCCCAATATGGCTGTGAGTCAGCCTGTCATGTTTGCATTTATATCAGAAGTTTTATCATACTAGGATAACACATTAATTGCTTACATCACACAATCGATCAATGCAAGATAGTCTGTGCAATATCGGACAGTGTGTCATGTCTGATAATGCAAAGCACCAACATTTTCCTATCATGATGTACAATCAGCACACAGTCACTAGAAAACTGGAAAGGCAACTTCCAGTAGAGAGCACGAAAATTAAAAAGAAACGATCTTGGGAATTATTTTTCGATAAGAAACTTTAGGAAAAGTCAAACTGGCAGTACCGGGGTATCTTTAAGAATGGAGGGATACTATTGCATTAACATGATAAATAAAACAAAACCAGTTTGTTGTACTGGTATTTAGTTTTCAGTTGAAGGCAAACATCAGAAAAGATGGAAAAAGCAACAACTGGAATAATGTGAAAAAAAAGAGTAGTTAAAATATTGTTGGTTAAGTAGGGAGCATAATATAAGCTGACACTGTGGCCCCAGAACT